TTAGTCACAAAGGGACAAATATTGTATGATCCCACTTATATGAATATGTAGAGTAGGCAAGTGTATAGAGACCAAAGTTCATTAGCACTTAACAGGTGTGACGCAGTGGTTAAGAGCTCAGGCTGCTAACAAAAAGGTCAGCAGTTCGAATTCGCTAGCCACTCCTTGGAAACCCTATGGGGCAGTTCTATCTGTACTGTAGGGTCGCTATGAGTCAGAATCAATTCGACAGCAACAGGGTTTATTCTTCAAATGACAAATGGAATCAAGGTGATGCCCTAGGGTGAAACTGTCTGTACTTCAAAGAGGCGACCAGAAGAGGACGCTCTGCTCTCCAAATTATGTGTCCTACCAGGAGGAAAACCGAAAAACCAAGCCCATTGCTGTCGAGTAGATTCCAACTCATAGCGACCCTACAAGACAGAGGAGAACTGCCCCATAGGGTTTCCAAGGAGTGGCTGGTGGATTTGAACTGCTGGCCTTTTGGTTAGCAGCCAAGCCAGGGGGAAGGATGTCTTTATTCTGTTCATCTGTCTGTCCGTCTACCTATTAATCTGTCTGTCTATCTAATCTATCACTCTTTTTATTTATTTTTGCACCAAGGTCAGGGCGGCTGACCAAGGCATGTGCTCAGAAGGCTACTTCTTTTTCAAATTTGCACACAAATGCCTTTCAAGCATAGAATATAAAAAAATAATGCTCATAAGGAGATTTTTACTGCAAGTTACAGCACGAATGCTGTCCTGTGTCTACAGAATAGCCAGGCAGTCACAATGAATCCTTTTGACATGCCTTGCTCATAATTACTGATGTTGTGCTGATTAGATACGATGTTAACCAACATGACCTGCAGAAATGACATAAAACTAGGGATTCAGCTGTTTACTCTTCTGAAGGCGGAAACTGAAGAGCAGATTTTAGAAGCCAGAAACTTTCTGGTTAGATCTCTCAGATCCAGCGCCTTCTCAGTCAGGTCAGGGTGTCCTGCTGCTTCCTTCTCCCCAGGGTTACAGCATGGTAAAGGGTATGCCCAGGTGGGCATCCTGACTCCAAGGACAGGAATGGCAAGCATCTGATCTTTACCAATCTTGTCCTGACGAGAGCCAATCTAAACTTCTTACTGCTGGTCTTTGAACATCAGGGGTTTTGCCCATTGAATTTCCCATGGCCCTGGAGAGGCTTATGAGAGCATCCCTAAAACCAAAAACCAAACCCATTGCCGTCGAGTCAATCTTGACTCACAGCGACCCTATAGGACAGAGTAGAACTGCCCCATAGGGTTTCCAAGGAACGGCTGGTGGATTCAAACTGCCAACCTTTTGGTTAGTAGCTGAGTTCTTAACCACTACGCCACCAGGGCTCCAAGTTTCCAAAAGGTCAATGAAAACGTCACTGAAGTAGCAGAGATGAGGTATGTCTTCAGGACGAAATTTAAGTCTTGGCCTAAGTGTGCATCTTCTCTCATTTAGCACCCCCTGCTGAGTAAAACTTCTAATTTCTTCATGCATTATAAAAACTAGCTAAGGAAGTGTTATTCTAAAACTGGTTTATCTAGGAACATTTGAATTAATGCAAAACAAAATTTAAAATATATAAACAAAAGCTTATGTTGAAAGACAAAATACGAACTTTCCTTCCCTTGTGTTTAGGCTTTAGCAAACCTGCCTAAAGGGCAATGGGCTTAGAAAGCTTTAGCACAAGGCAATAGAAGGATAGGTGACCTGAATTAATATGACAAATTATTTTTCTGCCACAATTGATGACAACAACCTAGAACTCTCTCTGATGGAAACCATCTAATTTATGGGTTTGTAGCCATGTTCCAATTTTACACAATGAAGAAGGAAGGCTTTTAAAAGCCCACATCCTAATCTGGGAATTTTGAGAGGGGAAGGTTATTACTATTTTGAGATATCTTTATATCTGTAAGTGAAAAAGTATTCATGGGATGGAAAGGAAGGGATCAGGAGAGAAAAGTACATCTTTCCTATTCTTTATTATGTAGGTCTTCAAGTGAGGAGTGTATTATTAAGTTGAAATCAAAATCCCAAATATTGGAAACACTTTTATTTCAATACAAGTTCAGAAAACATGCCAAAGTAAAATGTGAACCATGTTTGGATACTTTGTTATTATGAACTAGACCTGCCTCTGCCTCCTTTACTAATGCAACTGAATAAGCATTGACTGTATCCTAAATTGCATTAAATCATGCAAGTCCAAACACCTAACACTTGCTATGCCAAAAAAAGGCAAATACTCACCCACCATATCAAGAATGATTACAAACTGATTTATTAAGACATATCTACTGTACCTGAGTACTTTTCTCTGTACGTGTGACAATATCTAAAAGGGTTTATTTCAGTGGTACTTTAGAGAAAGAATTTCAATTTCAAGGTTTCACACCCACACATACTCACAGAGAGAGAGGGAGAAAGTGCTTGGGTGATACAAATGGTTAAAGAGCTAAG